TGTGGTGTTTGAACAAAGCTCAGTTGGTACTAAGAAGCCAAACGTATGCTGAGAAAATATCCCCCATACCCTCAGGCCACCAGCATCTGTGTGATCTATACAAGGCAGGGTGGATCCCTGGTTTCGTGTTTCCTGTTTCCATTTCCTGTTCTTAACTGACAGGAGTGGCACATGTGTGGTCTTCTGCTACTGTGGGCCCTTCTTCACTTGTGCATTCCGATTCTGCATACCTTGGTTGTTGCAAGTGATCTTTGAGTGATCCTTGACTTCCTATCAGGTCAAAGCAGTCTGGCCATTATCTCTGACCTCTGATCAACATGTCAGTTTTGCTCAGAGAACATCTGCTCACTGGATATTTTCTCTTTCTCACACCCTTGTCTGTAAACCCTAGAGATGGAGGTGTGGGAAAATCCCAGTAGATCAGCAGTTTCTGAAACACTCAGGCCAGCCTATCTTGCACTAACAACCATACCATGTTCAAAGTCACTTAAATCATCATTCTTCCCATTCCAAACCTGAGTTTGAACTTCAGCAGGTTATTTTGACCATATCTATATGTCTACATGCATTAAACTGCTGGCATTGGCTGATTAGCTATTAGCATTAATGAGCAGTTGAACAGGTGTAGCTAATGAAGTTTGCTGGTGAGTGCATAATAAATGCATTGACAGACGTCAAGCCATATCTCACTTTTTAACGTGTCTTGGTGAAGAACAAGATTTAGATAGGTGGGGGGTCCTTAATATATATCACTGCAGCGTAGTTGCATGAAAGGATTCACCTCAGACTTCCCAAATTTATCTTTATTGTAACTCACACTGCTGTTAGTGCTTTACAACCCACAGGCTTTTTAAAATGTCATTATTCTGGACAGAATAACTGGACAGAATTAATCTCTGCCTTTGAAATAAAATGAGGGTCAGGCCTGTCTGCTGGGTGGTTTTCTGGGGGACTTATTTCCTATAAGACTTAGAGACATTTGGGATTGGTCAACATCTGTCCAGCATTTCAGATGAATTAGGAAGCCTTTCAGGCATTTATATCAAGCTAACAAATGCTCATCAGTTATAACCGCTATCACCCGTTTTCTCTTCCTCCCTGTCCTGCATGTAGCACTCTGCAGTAATAGTAGAGCTGGTAAGCTCTGAGAGAAACTGTAGCATAACCATAAATAACTGCAAAATAGCTCTTAAGGGCACTTAAATGTGGGAAATACATCAAATGCTTTAATTGTTTATTTATGCATTTTTTTTTCTGTTGTTGATCTTGGTTGATGATAAATATCTCACACCTGTGACTTTAGTGACATGAACACATGACAGGACATAGTGCTGAGCCACCCATAAAGTGGTGTTTCTTGCTTTCATGGCACCAACCAGAAGAGATTTAAGGCTGAAGCACAAAAAAGAGTTTATATTAAACTGCCAACTACATATTTTTTACTTATTATTGCTGTTCTGTATCATTAATCTTTTTATCATCAGTGTCATTATTTTCTTATGTATTATATTAAATTCTCTATCAGATGAACATTAAAACCACCTGCCTTATGAAGTCTAGGTGAACCAACAGTGCTTTGGACATCACATCCCACAGTAACATCCACATGAATGGCAGAACCCTGGAATTCCCAGCAGATCATTGCATTGTAACGGGATGATGGGACTAGACACTGACTGTGTCAGTTGGGTTAATGTTGTGTGATTGGTGTGATTACTGCACCCCCCCCCCCCCCCCCCCCACACACACACACACACACACACACACACACCCCAGCCCACTTGGCTCTCAGAGTATGTCCAAGCTTTGTATAAATAAAAGTAAAACCATCTCTGTTTCTTTAATTCGGATTAAATATTGTGGAGGAACCACTAGCCCACAATGTTCCTCCACAGTCCTGACAAGAGATACTAAGAAAGAGTAGGAGGAAAATGAGAGCAAACGAGCGACTTAAATAGACCATGAGGGAGAGGGAGAGAGCAAGTGGGAGGGAACATGGTAGGGACAGATGGAGGGAAAGAGGAGGGGATGTAGGGAGGGATGAGGCAGGGGGGGAAATGGTTTGGCTATATAGCAAATGGGAAATGAGGTACGCAGAGAGTTTGAGGCACAAACAGAGGGAGACAATTCCTTGGTTCATTATCAGCAGGGCAGTTTATCAGTTTAAAATTTCATGAGTAGAGAAACTTATTTCCCTCGTTCCTCTGTTTCTCGCTGTACTGAAAGCTATTGGTTTATGGTTTCTCCCAGAAAGAAAGAAATATACATGTAAATAATTTATGGTTAAAATTCATCCAGATGAAACCATTAGCAGAGTTTTGTCAGACTTGAACTTTTACCATTGTTATTGCATGAGCCGCAGAAGACGATTCAGAAACCCGTGATTGTGTGTTTGGCCAGTGTCAGCAGGATCTTTGCCTGTTAAATGAAGATGAATGTTTTGCAATCAGCTCAGCTCGCTGGAGTATGAAGAGCTGTTTTCTGATCCTCAGGGTATGCAGCATAGCACCTCTGAAGATGCAAGAATCCTGCCTGTTCCTCTTTAATTTCACATATCAATCTTCAATTTGCCAACACAACATCTCGCTCCTTCTGGCTTCCATTTGCTTCACGCACGCTTCCTCTTTCCTGCCGCCTTTTCTCTCAATCCCTGCCTCCACTTGTCTCCCTCTTCTTGTCATTAATGCGTCTTTTCTTAGTTCCTCTATTCTTGTCAAAAGACAGCTGGAATCCACAACAGATGGGTGAATTTATGCCTTGAGTGGAAGAGCAAAAATATTGAAACTGTGTCTACCACTGTGCTAAAGTTGTTTGCTCCCAGTAAGTACTCAAGAGCGTCTTTCAGTGTATGAGGTGAGAAAAAGAAAAAGCTGCCTGTTTACTTTCGCTCACATTTATTGATGACTCTCTGTGGGATTGCTGAGATTAAAGCAGCCTTGCATTGTCTCAGAGGATATGTAGCTCAGCTTCTGAGCAGCAGTTTCCCAGCCATAGCAGGTAGCTCATATGCACGGGGTCACCTTGGGGATGTAATTGGAGGGAGTGACGAGGGATGAGGCAGTGGGCAAAGAATGAAGGGGCAGCATGCCAGTGAGAGGCTGCTGTAAGATTAGTGATTGACAAAAAGATGCTGGGTGGAAGAGAGAGCAGAAGCTATAATCATCGTTCATCTACCACATTATCTTTCATTGTAGTCCTGAAGGAATTTGACCAAGAGTCATGTGTGTGTGTGTGTCAGGGAGTGATTGTAGGGGAATTCTTCAACCCACTAATGATAACTACAGGGTATAATGGACAAAAAGCCAGATTGGTTGAAATTAGACACGCACCCAAACACACCCTTAACAGCTGTAGATCTAGCTGCCCTCTCTGCCTTCAGATATTCTTTCCCTTTTGTCAGTATGAGCAGTTCTTTCTGTAAATCATGTTGTCAGAAGGTCACACATTTCACATACGCCATTTGACTTTTTCAAGCCTCTACACAGGAGCACAGATGAGACTAATCAGTCTCTTAAACTCATAGTCATGCACGCACACTTGGAAAGACTTTAACATGGGATCTACAGATGGCTCCCTAAATGTGTTGTCAGTGTCTATTAGAGTGCAGGCAATGAGTCTGGCATTGTGGCAAATGATGCTCAAGCCACTGGCCACACTATGAAAATGCACACAGGTGCACTGTAACTCCAGGAAGCTAATGAAATTACGCTCTGCACCAGCGACTCACTGGTATCAAGAAGATCTCAATCGATACCTTTACATCTCATTACACTTCTATTTCACCTCCGGAAAGACCCCATGATTAGATGGGCACATGACCACCACATGCACATGAGCATGCACGCACCTAAAAGCTACCCTTATTAGCAATTAGTTTTTGTTCAAATGAGCAAAGAGCCAATATAAACAGATAATGTAAAATATCAATGTGGACTTGAATTACTTGTGTTCACTTAGTGTGAAAGCGGGAACGAGATATAGAGGGATAAAGAGGAGGGTTAGCCTACAACATTGCAGCATTGCCCAAGGGATGCAGCGGCAACAGCAGCAGCAAAGACTGCGGATTCCTGGAGCCCCACGAAATGAAGGCATTTGGGGTGGGGGTGTAGATGGGAAAGAAGATGTGCTGCGGGGAGGGAGGTGGGAGGAGATGGATGGCTGGTTGTAAGGGATTAGAGGAATAGCTCATCAAGCATTCAGAACACGGATTCTCTCATGCTCCCACAAGGTGCCTTTCACACATGCACACATATGAGCACGTGGGCCCACACGCTAACGCCATTACGTGTGCGCTGTTGCTATTTCTGACTTTTAAAAAAATCAAGAAAACCCACAGCATTTCTCAAATTACCCTCTCAACTGACTTTAGCTCGCATCCATCGCACCATTTGTTCATTCTCACACATGATATAAAATATGCAGCAAATAAAGATCTAAACTGGGCAGTGAGTAAAATATTCCCTTTAAGCCTAATCCGAAAAGTGTACGACACAGCGGAAAAAAAGACCAGAATGAACTGTGTCAGGGGAGAAAACCTGCAGTTCTTATTCATTTGAACCTCCTCCCTTTTGTGTTTTTACTCGTTCTCCTCAGTTGCCTCCTCAGCAAATCCCTTCATTCCCTCTTTCCAGTGAACAGGCTGCTTGTGGAGTTCTCTCTATAAGAGCCAAGAGAGAGGGGGACTACCGTACAGTACATGAGAGGATTTCGTCAGCTCTCCCCTTTTCCTCCACCAAGCACCTCAGCAGAAGTGTTTTTAGTGAAGCAGTTTAATCCAGCAAATAAGAGCACACACGATGTAGCTATATTACTTTCTTTATATGCTATGAGCATACATTAAGACATTTGCTCCAACAAGAATCACATGACTCAAAACTAAAGCTGCTTTGCTTTCACAGGAACAACCTCACCTCACTCCCAGACGCTCTCGCTTTTCTGTCTCCTTGACTTTCTTCTGTGTGTGTGTGTGTGTGTGTCATTGTCTGGTCATTGTCTCACAGATAACAGTTTTCCGGATGGGATCGGAGGGTCATCAAGACATTGACCTTGCCATTCTCACTGCGTTACTCAAAGGTGAGTATGTTGGTACGTGTGTGTGTTTGGTGTTTGTTGAAGCATGAGTCCACAGTGAGTGACTTCAATTTCACTCCTCAAATGTTGTTATTTGGCAGTTTCTTTACATGAAGGGAAGATGACTGTTTCAGAAAGCGTTCCTTCCTCATACACTGTTCCAGTTAGTTGCTCAAATCACACAGGTTTCTGTGGTTACACCTCATAGCTCTGGAATAAAACACAGAGAAATCTGTCTGATCTCATCAGCCAGTCACATGGCAGCAACGCAATGCTTTTAGGTGTGTAGACAGAGTCAAGACGACCTGCTGAAGTTCAGCCTGAGCATCATAACAGGAAACAAAGGTTTAACATTTAAGTGACTTTGAGTCATGGTTGTCGGAAAGAGACGGGCTGGACTGAGTATTTCAGAAACTGGGATCCATTGCGATTTTCCCGTAAATCCATCTCTAGAATTTTCAGAGAACTGTGCGAAAATATCTGGTGAGCTGAATTTCTCTGGGTGAAAATTCCCTGTTGATCCCAGAGCTCAGAGCAGAATGGACAGACTGCTTCAAGCTGATTGGAAGCCAACAATAAATCACATAGTGATTATACAGCCAACATATACAGAAGAACACTTTAAAACGTAAGACACATCAAATCTGGTAGCAGATGGTTTTCCAGAAGCAGAAGAACAGGTGCCACTCCTGTCAGCTCAGAGCATCAACAGTTACCCCAGAATTGGTCTATAGATATGACAAACTTTGCCTGTTATGTTGAGTCTAGATTTCTGCCAAAACATTCTGATAGTAGAGTCAGAATTTGACGTAAACAGCATGAAAGCATTGAGCCTTCCTGCCTTTTATCAATGGATCAGTCTGCTGGTGCTGGCATAATAGTGTGGGGGTATTTTCTTGGCTTGCTTGGTGCCCCTTGTACCAGCTGAGCATGGTTTAAATGGCACAAGCCGCCTAAGTATTGTTGCCGAAAATGCCCATCCCTTTATGACCACATGCAGTATAAAGCATCTTCTGATGGGTGCTTTCAGCATGATGACACGTCACAAAGCTCAAATCGCCTCAAACTTTTTTCTTGAACATGACAATGAGTTCAGTGTATCCAAATGGCCTCCACAGTCACCAGATCTAAATCCAATAGAGCATCTTTGGGATCTGGTGAAATGGAAGATTCACATCATGGATGTGCAGCCAGCAAATCTGTAGCAACTATGCTATCATGTCAATATGGACCAAAATCTCTGAGGAGTATTTCCAGGAGTATTTTAAGTCAGTCCTGAAAGCAAAAGGTGGTCCAATCTAATGCTACCAAGGTGTAACTAACAAAGTGAGTGGTGAGTGTATATTTAGGTGTCTAATTGTTTAAGTAATTACTTAAACACAAAGGGGTTGCAGCTCTAGTTTCCCAACAGCTACAGTATTAAAGCCATTACAGGCAGGCTTACAGTGAGCTCAGCTTTCTCATTTTGTATGCTAATTAAAAACCTGAGATAAAAATAACACCTGTAAAATCATCAATTAGCGCAAACACAGCTGCTCATTACCTCTGTGGCCAGAGACAAGTAATTCCAGGATGACACTGCCAGTCCCCGGTAAGTGCCCTGTCTTTTGTGGCATTTTCTTTGAAGAATATATTTGCATTTAAGTTGCACTTATGAAATACATTTTCATGAGGTAAAAAAGTTCTTTGTGAAAGCCATATATCATCTAAGCACAGCTCATGTTGTAAAATATCTTATATTTACACATGTACAGAACCTTATGTGGCATGGCCGTTCAAGGGCTGCTGTCATGGCCAAAAGATTTGGACCACGAGGAGTTTAAACTCTCTTTTAAAGGAGAACCACTGAGTACTCTGGGACTGCACGTCAGATCACCTTATAAAATATCTCATAAATTGCTCCTCAGAGACAAACTAATAGTGATTTAAAGGCTCATATCCTTGTTGTTTCCTCCTCCATTTATCACACTGCAACGCATTCTATTTAATCAGCACGACAACATGAGGACTGACACTGAAATATGCACAAAGAAACACTGAAGAACAAACCATTATCACTAGCCCTGCGTCATATGCTGTTGGTCTTTGCTGTGACAGTAAAACACTTCACACCCACTGAGTTATGGACTACAAGACTTCTAAAGTAGCTCTGGCACGGAGAAGTTTACATTTTTAGGGTATATCCCACAACAGCCCTTTCCTGTTTAATGGTTTGTTCCTCTCCAAATCACTGTTTGTAAGTATTCATTAATACTGGCCATGAATGATTCACAAGTACTGCCATTTTTGAGATGCTCTGAACAGTTGTCTGGGCACAAAAATTTGGAACTTGGAAAAAAAAAATGCTCAGTCTTCCCATTCTCCTAGATCCAATACATTGACTGTGAGTGGACATAATGCTTTGGTTCATGTGCGTACACTTGTAAAAAGGCTCATATTCGAGCTGTTCTGTAACAAATTCCTATACATTTGTTAATAATAATGAAAAATTACCAAAGTAAACCACACACACACACGAGTGGGAGAGAGAGGGGATCCATGGATCCATTTGCTCAATTGGTTGTTCAGTAGGTTGTATTGATTGTGGTTTCTGTTGCTTCTTCTATGCTCACAGGAGATTGCATGCATTTTCTCTTCCTGTCACACACTCACATACACACACACACTAGAGACTAGAAGTACAGACATCATGCCTGCATGCCAAGGATCAGTGATTCCTGTGGGAGTGCTTAGAAATTCAACACATATGATTGGCTGTCTCAGGAATTGTTCCCTAGAGGAACATGCCAGTCCACAGACAAGGAAAAAGTGCAAAAGAGTAGCTTGCAGTCATGATGAATAATTTCTTTGGCCCATCCATTAATTATCTTCATTCCAAACTCTTTTTCTCCCATTCTGTTACCTTTTCTATATATACATAAGGTTATTGTGTTTAATGAGATCTGCTATTCATGTCTATTCACATTGTTAGAGAAGCTTTTGTGAATAAGTGAAGGAAGAATGTGAAATCAAAGAGCAAAAAGGCAAAATAGCAAAAAGAACATAATTAAAAAGAAATTAGAAAAATTAAAAATGAGTTAGGGGCAAAATTGTCTTATGGTCAACAGCACGGGGGCCATTTCAGATGCAATTCTCATTCTGCAGCTGCATGAATGAGATGTGTTCAAGGCTTTTAGTGTAAAATGAAATCGGTCACATCCTGCCTGAGAGCTTTTTAAAACACTGGATTAGACTCCTTCGCCAAGGAACTAAGCCACTGCCTGGGGCTCAACAAAAAAACAAAACATCACAGTCAGGAATGCACAGAGTGGAGCGAACTGAGCAAGAATCGAAGAAAGAGAATTTAAGGGGTGAGCGCAAGCCTCTGTAAGAAAGATAGAAAGATTAAGAAAAGTGGAAGGAGACCTCGCAGAGAGGAAACAGCAACTACACACAGATGGTGCAAGTGTGGTGAGGTGGGAGTAATTGATGGCCTGCTGTCTGGGGTAGTCAATATCCTAAAGATTGGGTACATAAAGTCAGTTGACTTCAGTCCAACCCTGCAGGCAGAGAGAATGAAGTCGCAGGCCTTTGATAAAGCAGGACCTCCTTTCCTTTTAATATATACACATATCCCCTAAAACTCCTATTAGTGGGCACTGCTTATTATCATCTTGTCAAACCGGGGATATTATTGTGCTTTAACTTACAGTTGATTTGTCAGAAGGCTAAAAAAATCAATTTCTTCCTTTGTGTTTTTCTTGTTTTTCTCTGTTTGCACTACGTATTGTTGGGAACAGCAGGCTGTGATCTTGAATTACGTCTCATTAGTCAGCATTTGCTGAGATGTGTTGGTACAAACAGGTACAACGACAAAAACTAATATCTCTCATGGACTGACTGTCTAGTCACTTCAAATGCTGTAAGTGCTTTTTTTTATGCAACCTTGAAAAACTGAGTTAATTCCAAAATACAGTATTAGACGACAGAAAACAAGAGGGGAGAGAAAAAGGAAATGACAGGGGTCCATGAATACATTCGAACCACAGTGCAATTTCATTATGATATTAATTTCAGTCACAGTCACCATTTAGAGAAAAATAGCTCAACAGATTTACACAAATCTTGTAAACAAGGTATTTTGTTCCACCCAGCATTACACTCAATTTAATCCACTCACACTCTTTTGTTATTATTATTATCATTTTAATCTTGCATTTGTATACATTGGAGTTTCTTTACTTTGGCTTCTAGTTATGTTACTGATATGTTTTCTGGAGGATCGAAGTGAAGGATCAGAGTACTGTAAATGTTTTTGGACACAGAAATCAAAGGAAAAATGTGTATTCCACATTTTCTGCAGGGATGAGGTAGAGTGTTAAAGAAATGCTTATATCAGTGAGTAAAGACGGGTTCTTCTGTTTTACAGACGACAAGCGCAGCAAAGGCACAACACTTTTCAAAAGAGCTTCAAGTAGACCAAACCTTTGTCTTGTCACAATAACATTTTGCAGTTTAGCCAAGCACTTCAGCAAAATAATTCATGAGCGTTAACCTTGGCAGTCCCACTGCAGCACTTTACAAATATACAAATTCTGCAGAGTAATAAATCAACACAATGTCCATTTAGAATAATCATAAAAAATTATTTCTTTTGGTTGACTCTGACATATTAATGTTGATATATTGATCAAAGATATAGATGTGGCAGTGAGGACATACTAGAATATATACTTATAATTTATAGCTGTGTTTCTCCTAAAGAAAAACTTGTATGTGTAACAATCCATACCAGGTGCTAATGCTTCAGCCCCAGATCAGCTGAGTTTGGCTTTGGCGTGGAACAGAGTGGACATCGCACGGAGTCAGATCTTCATCTACGGACAGCAGTGGCCTGTAAGAAGCAGATACAGTATAAGCCAGAATATATGTGATGTATACATACTGTGTTATTACTTATATTCACAGGATGTTTGAACCTGATTTATTCGCACTGACGCGATGAAACGGGCTGTTAAAAAAACTTTGTCTCAACTCTGAGTTTCACAGTAGTTGAATTTGAACTTAATGCTAATACTGCTCTAATAATTATAACAATAATAGCTCACGATGCTCAAAGTTGTTTACATGACAAGAAATACTTGATGCAGTTCTTGTGTATAGGATGTGATATCACTGTATACTGTGTATGTCCTAGGTTGGTTCCCTGGAGCAGGCGATGCTGGATGCCTTAGTTCTGGACAGAGTTGACTTTGTCAAGCTACTGATTGAAAATGGAGTCAGCATGCACCGTTTCCTCACTCTTTCCAGGCTGGAGGAGCTCTATAACACGGTAATGACAAGCATAAAGTGTTGAAAACACGCTTTAAAAAAAAAAAAAAAACCTCATTCTGTTACTTTTTTCTTTCTTTCAACAGCGCCATGGACCATCAAACACGCTGTACCACCTCGTCAGAGATGTCAAAAAGGTATGACCATCACTGCCGTCCCAGTAGCTCTGTTGCTGTTCAGTATGGGAATGTGGTATATTAAAGAAGACAAGTTTGACTCCATAGAGTTGCAGTTGCTTTTTTTGTGGTGTGTGTTGTTATGCTGTTTGCATCACTCCGTATATATCTACATTTTGCACTAGTTGCTGTAAACTGCAAATAGATGCCGGCCGGCTTTTCTTTTTCAGCTGGAGTTGCGGGCTGCAGTGGCTGTGTAGTGCTGTGCACGACTCTCATCCCTCTCATGATTCCTCAGTTTACTCCTTTCTTTATCAAAGGCACACACCACCACGGTAAACAAACACTACATGTATTAAATATTGTTTTATCCGCAGAACTCGGAGCAATACTGAGCAAAGTGAGACCACAATGGAAATGCTGCAAGGCTGAAGAGCTTAGTAGTCCCACAGTTTGTTTTAGTTTTAACTTGTATTTTAAATGGCCTGTAACGTGATTTCTTGAATAGTGATAGTTGAGACACAAGGTGATTCAGAGAGCTTACGGGGGGTGATAGAAAAACATTTATAACATTTAAATAAGGGGTGTCAAACTCATTTTACATTGTGGGCCACATGTGAAGAAGTGTAACTGCACATTTAATCTGTGAGATATTTTAATATAGGAAAAAGAAGTGTAATTTCAGCAGCACGTCTCAGTTTTTGTACATGATACAGAAATGTGCTTCAGTACATTAAAAAATGTCACTGCATGACTTCGGGCTTAAATTGTAAGGAAAAAATGTGTAAAATGACAGAAAAAGCTCTGGCATGTCATAGCCTACACAAGGTTTTTTTTTTCTTTTCCTCTGAAACCAATGTAAAATCTTTTTTGTTTGTTTTTAAATGTTTACTATATATTAGATAGCAAAAAAAAAGCTTAACCCCCCCCCCCCCAAAAAAAAAAAACAAAAAACAAACTTCTATGGTGCCTTAAAATTGCTCATGATAAAAGGTGACAGCATATATTTTACATTCAGCACACATTATAGTTTTGAGAGATGATAGAGAGGTCAACAACCATTACCATTAGCATGGAGACATGCTCATTAATTATAGTGTTACTAATTGCAGTGACGCCACATGCGCCTCTGAAAGTGTCTGTAATCTCCCCTCCTTTACTTCTTCCCCTATCTTTGCACAAACTTCGATCTCATGCTGGTGTAGAAAGCAGGAACACGCAGCGTACAGTAACTGCCATCTCACTGCACCATTTCACCAATGTGCAAAACATACACTGTAGTGCATGGCATAACGTTACCATCTCCTTTCTGCAGAGCTGTGTGTAATTGCAATAGTGTTGCTGAGTGTTTGTGTGTCACTGTTCTATCATGGTATGGTGCTAATTAGATTTAAATTTAGATCTTCATGTCATAGCTGCTTCCTTTCTTTTTCATTGGTCTTTGAAGACTGTTAGGCTTTACCGCTGGCATTTAATGGCTATTAATTAGATTTAAATTGCAGGTATTTTGCTAATATCAGCGCTATGGGTGAATGCAGGCTGTATTCAAGTTCAGTCTGCAGATCAGGAAAAGCGATCGTCATAGAAATGGGTTTCTGTACTACACCTAGTAAATAATCAAATGAATAGCAGAGTAAATGAACATTGTAGCTTTATGTACAGGTTGTGGCTTTAGTGTTGCTTTTCAAACAGGGGTTGGGAAGGCATCCTAATGTTTGCTTTGCTATTTACAAACTGAGAGCTCAGGAGATAGCTAAGAAGGGTAAGAAATGTGGCTCCAGTACACAGCACAGTATATATTTCACCAATGTCTTTACAATTATCATCAGAGAGGTTCACATAGTTTGGGCAAAAGGTACCTTTGTCAAAGCACCTGGTTTAAACTAGAGCCGTAAATGTTAGAGGCAAGTTTTAAAAGTTTCAGTTAATCATTAGTAAGTCCGCTAGGACTCAAAGCTAACTACACAAGAATATTAAGAACTGTTCTGTAAGAGCTCAGAGTGCATTCATAGAAGCTATTAGCTTGACCTTTAACACCAATTACAGGAGGGATCAACAGCTACTTGCTGGTACATGTGTATATACTGTACATTCATTTATTAGTGTAAGAGAGTGGAGAACAATTATTATTGAAGTTTTTTTTTTTTTTTTTTAAAGTACATGCCATGACTTTTCCAACATCATTGATCCTCTTTGAAAATTTGTCTTCAGGTAAAGGTGATAAAGTCAAACAAACAACATGCTAGTGCATCTCAAAAACTTATCATAGTGTGAAAAAGTTTGTTTTTATTTTCCTATTATGGCTCATAGCTCGTGAAAATACAAATTAAAATATTTAATTTCAAATTTGAGCAAATCACTATTCAAACAGTATAAATACAGAATAAATATTTGTGAGAGCAACCACAATCACAGAGACGCCTGCTGACTTGGCAGTTGTCCAGATAACTTTCCACAAGGAGGGTAAGCCTCAGAAAAGGCTGCCTGTTTGCAGAGTGCTGTAGCAAAGCACATTAATGAAGAGTTGCCTGGAAAGGGAAAGTTAACAAAAACAGAAATGAGAAGACTGTCGAGAAAAGTCAGTTCAACAACTTGGGAAAGCTTCACAAGGACTGGACAGAGGCTGGTATCAGTGCATCAAGAGCACCACGCGCAGATGTTTTTAGGAAAAGGTTTTCAACTGTTACATTTCTAATATCAACCCACTCCTGAACAAGAGACAAAATTAGAAGTCTCTTACCTGGCCCAAGGAGAAAAACAGAACTGGATGGTTGCTCAGAAGTGCAAAGTTCTTTTTTTTTTTAGATGAAAGTAAATTTTGTATTAGATTTAGAGATCAAGGTCAAGGAGTCTGAAGAGAGGCACAGAATCCAAGCTGTCTGAAGTCCAGTGTGAAGTTTCTGCAGTCTGTGATGATTTGGGATCATCTGCGGTTGTTGGTTGTTGTCGGTGGATTGTGTTTTATCAAGTCCAAAGTCAACACAGCCATCTACCAGGAGATTTCCATCTTCATGGAAATGCTTATTACTTTTCATTTTCCAGCAGCACTTAGCATCTGACTTGAAATAATTTACTTTACATTTACATGAAAGTTTACCTGTTTGAATTAAATTACAATGAAAAAAACGTTTTTCACAATACTCTCATTTTTTGAGATGCACTAGCAGAGTCCAGTCCAGAGTCCTGTAAATACCTACAAGTCTAACAAGGGACATAAAAAGGTCTCTAAATAGTTTGAATGAAATCGTTCAACTGGGCAGCCTCAGTAAATTTAGGCAGTGAGCAGTCTCAGTTAGCCGCCTCCAAATATTTTGTCACATGAACTGTGACAGAAGAAGAATGGGGCTGAATTCTTCCACAGCAATGTAAAAGACTGATGAACTCATTTAGAAAACTATTACTTGAACTTAAGCGGTTCAGAATCATGGGATGCATTTAGTTTTTCACAGGTTTGTATAGGTTAAAGATTTTTGGAGTAATGTTCTCTGGGCTCAGATTTGAATTGCATCAAAAACAAATTGTGGGTGAAATTTGAAACGGTGACTGCAAGAAAATGGAAAGATTTGTGCCTTTAAATTTACAAATTCCCTTGAGCACACAGAGGTTAATCCTATTTAAGTCTTTTGTGTTGGGTTTTTTGTACTTACTTTTACCACAGAAGAATATCAAGTAATTGTTAGCAATTAAATGTTAGAAAAGATAAAGAAACCACATTTTAGAATCAAATGCTTTCTTATTTACAAGTGCTAAAAAAGTCAACAGTTTCTAGTGGATATACTTATTTTCATCCATGAAACAGTGATGGGTAGCACACAGTGGATTTCTAGGATACCACATCTGATTGAAGAACAGTCACGACAGGTAACTGGTGTCTCAAAGGAGCAGTGGCTGCCAGGGTAATTGCTGCAGGGTTGATGTTGAGGGCATGAGGAGGAATAGCGAGTGTCGACATGGTTATAGTCCACATGTGAAGGTGCTTCTGTTTCAATAGTGAGTCTCACCTTCCATGTTAATAGCTGTCCGTCTATCTTTCCACTCTCTTCCAGGCTAATGAGTCATTTATACTTTCCTTCTCCTTTCTTCTCCTTGAGACTGCATTGAACCTCACTGTGAAGATCTCATTACATGCCTAAATGCAAATTATGACAAATCATTCACTTTTTTTTTTTTACATGCTTTGTAATTGTCCTCAGAAATTACACTCTCTAATTCACGCTGCACCTGAGATTTAATTCTCTCCTCATTTTCAGCTCCTCTATTGAATATAAAAGACTTGCACTTTGGGGCTTTATCGTGTCACATTGTAGAAAGAGTAATGGGATCCCTGAAACTGTGATCCTTTTTTTAAAAACAACTTCATTTTTTCATTTTTTTGCTTACAGTATTGATAAAACTGTTTCACGTTTCTACATGGAAAACAAGACCCGTGTAAATATCAAAAGCCAAACAGAACAACAGTCTGGTTGAGACAACAATTTATTAAAGAGACTGGAAGAGAGATCTTGCCCGAGAGTTTCTGTGTATCTCATTTCTCCTGCTCTTGCTTATCATGCCGTTTATTCACTGACATTATGTGTTCTTTCCAAGCAAGAGTATCCAGGGTTCAGTTGGATCTACTTCAAGGTGAATCAGATAATCAAGTTTTCTTTCATAGCCAAAAACAGTTTGATATGGATTTTGTGCAGTGAGTGTATATGGCTGTGTGATTTTGTTTTGTACTCTTGTTTCCCTTCCTGTGTTAATCAGTCGGTGTGGGTCGTTGCCTGTTAACCCTGTTTGGTTTTTAGGGAAACCTGCCCCCGGACTACCGGATCAGCCTCATTGACATTGGACTGGTCATTGAATACCTCATGGGCGGGGCATATCGGTGTAACTACACCAGGAAGAGGTTCCGAACTCTATACCATAACCTCTTCGGACCCAAGAGGGTGAGTGAATGAGTCTCACCTGAATTATCCTCTTAGTGTTTAATCAATTTCAGATCTACTGTCATTAATCCAAGGAGCAGCACCAGCTAAATGAGCCTCATTATCAAACGTGTCCTCATAAGGATAAGTGGATAATAATATATTTCTTATACTAACATATTTATCAGAGAGTCTAAAGGTCAGCTGCGCTTTGCGGATGGTAATTAATTAACTTTTAGATGCAAGTTTTGATGATTTTTACCTGACAAATGGCAGAAAAGGAGATCTGCAGTGGGAGGTCAGTGAGACACGTGACTTTTTTTGGACAAAAAGATGGGAGCGGTTTTTAGTAATTTTGTTTTTTATCAATACCAATTCCAGAAAAATATTAGTCTGAAAGTACAGCAGAAAAATAGGTAGGAATAAAAATGACTGAGTCCAACATTTATGCTGCACTTTTTGAATTTATCACAAAAACCAGAGTTACAACATGAAAAAAATAAACAAAAATGGAGACTTCTTTCTGTTAAAAGGGAGTTTTTCCTTCCCAGTGTCACCAAGCCTGTGATTTGGTGCTATCTAAATATATCTAAGTGCATAATTACTTATGTAAGTGTAATTGCCTGAAATCAGAAAAAGGCACCAATATGTTTAAGGGATTAATTTTGGGTTTCAACTGAGAAGAATTTAGTTAATATGCACATACTTACACAAATTTAGCTTTTATTTGTGTGTCAGGGTGCTGTTGATCAGCACAGGTTAAATATATGAGCATTGCTTCCCCTGTTATTCATTTACACATCAAGTAAAGTAGGAACATTGCATGCCCTATCATAAGCCTAATGCAACAAATCATCTTTGTGTAGCAGTTGCTCTTCATTATGCGCCGTCATCATCATCAAACTGCACACAGTTCATTACAACCCCACCAGCAAGTTTTCTTGGTGATTAGTACACACAACCAAAGTGACAAAGTGATCTCTGAAATCGTGCTTTGTTTGATGGTTGTGTTTTATACTGCTGCACAAGTTGCACATTATATACATTTCACATTCTGTTTTCTCATTCTGCCTCGAAAACCTGCACACTTGTGAGGAAAATGTAAACATGCATAACTGTATAAAACACAATACTTAATGATGCACTTTGGTATTTGCACATTCAGTCGTGTGATTGTGAGCGTTGTGTGCAAGTGTGTATGTGAACCTTTGTGCATCTGTTTATCTTACTGTCTAAGACTGCATGGTAGCCACAAAGCAGCTGGAAAGGCACAGATAACGTTTGAGGTAAGAAACAGGAGAGACAGAGCAAGGAGGCAAAATGAGAGACAAAGAAAGACAGAGTCACCTCCACTTTAACTGGGATTTTCTAGACCAAGTGAATGCACAGCCACATAGTTATGTGCATGCACACATAAACACATGTTAAGGAAGAACAAAGTCTTGAAATAGATGTAGATATCAGAATCCCCACAAGAGATTTGGGTTATTTTTACCAACTCAGATGATGGCTCATGAATACATAATTCATACATGCCCTGCTTTAATGCAGATACACAGTACTGTACCAGATCTACAAATATAAATTCATTTAATACATGCAAGCAGAAAAGGATTAGATATTATTGCCATATATACAGTCACTCAAATGAGCACAAAGTGCCATCCCTAAGTATCAGTTCCATTTTGAAGCATGCAAATAAAAGTCAGTGATTTACTCTGTTTAAAGGATCTTCTTGGCCTGTAAGTCTTGTGCATAAAAAGTAAAGTGTGCTATAAAATACATTCAACAAGGTCTCGCTGTGTGTTAATGTTTCTTTTTCATTTCTAGCCCAAGGCTCTGAAACTGCTGGGGATGGAGGTGAGTCTTGATCCAATCATGGTTGTTATTTAGTCATTCCTTCACTGTTCCTAACCCTTATCTCTCAAGCCTCTTCACTTAACTGATCTACAGTTTACTCATCTAAATAAGTGTGCTCATGTGTGCCGTGTGCCTCTCAGTAGATGAAGGGAAGCTCTAGATGTATATTTAATCTATTTTGCTGGTTAGTTTTATACATTTCTGAGTCAGCTGAGTGCTTTTCACACAAACAGCCAATAAAACAAAACAAAGTCATTTTGGTTTACAGCTTTTTCTCAGATTTATGGACTTTTTAAAAAGCTGGAGACTCATGCTCCAGACAGTTTAAATGCATATATATCTTGCAGTGCATTTCAAAGCAGTCCTGCTGTATTCAGCTGAATAAGCTATGGATGACCTGATCAGATTCATGTGGTGTGTGGTGTAATTTCTTAAAGCTTCACAAAGCACTGTTCCTCGGAGGTATTTATACGCATGGAACAAACATTCCTTTGTTTTTCTGTATGTTGTGAATTTATCCCCCATGTGTTGGTGTGTGTTCTCTGTTGTTTTTGCCACGCCATTACCTTTCTATCTTCACAAAGCCTATTTATCATCTAGCCAGTATGTATGTCAGAAATACTGCTGTTAAAGGGTGACAGCTGTGAACCCTGAAGGGTTTCTTTTGTAATACTTGCAATCATTTCAAGCATTGCGATAATTTCATTTCTGAATATCACTGAAATTTGCTAGCTTATACCAGATATTTGTCACTATCTGTAATTGCTGAATATTTTACTGCTCTGCAATCTTTTATGTCCAGCTGATCTCTTGCACTGAAAGTTATTTTTCAAATGGATTTAGCTGTTTTCAACAGTCTAAATGTGAAATTATGTCATTTAATGACTGACTGGCAGCAGCTATGTCTCCAGAGACAGAGAGCCAACTTGGTGAAAAGCCAATAAATTTACCTCTTGTAAGGTTTTTTACTATTAATTGAACTGAAACTATATTATAAAGAAGTTAAATTATGTTTAAAATCATGCGGAGATGTACATGAGCCCATACCCGCTCTGCGTTATCTAGATTGTTTAGTATTTGGCACATTGTGCTCTAGCTTGTCTCTTCAAAATATAACTTCCCAAGCATTTATAGAAGATCAGTTTAGGCGTCTAGATGCAGTCGAACCAAAGTGTTCTTCAGAGGTTTACATCATGTAAAACTTTCAAATTTCTTGGCTGACACTTGTGATCAGTATTTACAATCCAAACCACATATATGCATAATGTTTTCCTTCTATACAGAAAAGATCTGAAAAATCCCTAAGAAATACTTTTATACAGATGCTTCTGTTTCCCCACTAGGATGACATGCCAATCCGAAGAGGTCGTCAGAAGACGACACGTAAACGAGAGGAAGAGGTAGACATCGATTTGGACGACCCAGAAATCAACCACTTCCCTTTCCCCTTCCACGAGCTGATGGTGTGGGCTGTGCTCATGAAACGTCAGAAGATGGCGCTGTTCTTTTGGCAGCATGGTGAAGAGGCCATGGCCAAAGCCTTGGTGGCATGTAAGCTTTGTAAGGCCATGGCACACGAAGCATCTGAGAACGACATGGTGGATGACATTTCCCAGGAACTAAACCACAACTCTCGGTGGGTGACATGATATATTTTCATGTTATCCCAATCTCTCTCCGTCTGGCTCACTCTTTATCTTTCCCTCCCTCTGCCAGCTTATTCGGTTTAATAATAATAATAATAATAATAATAATGGATACTTTATTGATCCCCATGGGGAAATTACTTGTTTTTCTCTGCATTTGACCCATTCACTCAGTGAAGCAGTGGGCAGCAAACAGGATATTCAAGTATAGTTTTATATATAAATAATGTATATTGTAGTACTTAGAAGAGCTGGAAAACATGGAAACATGCTGTAAATGATTAATGTTAACGCTGAGCTAAGAGTCTAGACAGGAGCGTCTACCTCATACATCAGTATATGTAGGTGGATGTACATACACACATGCCTTCCCTCATACAAACTGACCTGTTTCAGACTAGCTCTCATGGGATGTAAGTGACGCACATAAAAAGATCTAATAACATGCATCACCATTAGTTAAGGATGGGCATGTGAGATTGAGGTAATGCCTGAGATGAACACACACATTTGAAAAGATAACCTTGTAATTGACATATTTGGAGTTAATTGTCCAAACAATATTTGGATTCCTGAGTGAGTTTGTATCATATTCTGCGTCATATTCAGGATAATATTCAATTATGAACCAAACATTTTTTATCCATCCATTGTATGTGAAGCCACTAATGCTGCTATATATATATATATATATATATATATATATATATAAAATAAAAAAATTTGTTCATAATTGAATGTGATGCTGTAAAAAATTAATGTCCTGAAATGAAAGTATGAGAAAAGTATTGTGTAGGATTTTGGAACCCAATTAAAAATTTGATATAAGCGATGGTACTGGTACAGATGTTGCTTTGAACATCTGAGAAAACTGTTGTGTTTCTGCATGTATTTGTGTTGGCCACATCATATTTATTTCATTTATCAAAGATATGTTGCATTTAATATTATCCTTGTAAGTCATCTAAACATTCACCTTGTAACCAATTCACACCGCACAGTTTTTATGTTTGTACATGTGTTTTATGCCATAATAATACCCTCAGACTTGGGGCCAGGTGGCCAGCAGTGTTATGACCAGTTGAATAACATTTTCACTTTTAGGCAAAGTATATTGCTGTCTTGATTCATGACTCAGTGTGCTTGTATACATACTTTATATATTTTCCCAGAGAGTTTGGCCAGCTGGCTGTGGAGCTCCTAGACCAGTCCTATAAACAGGATGAGCAGATGGCCATGAAGCTGCTGACATACGAGCTGAAGAACTGGAGCAATGCCACCTGCCTGCAGCTGGCTGTAGCAGCCAAACATAGAGATTTCATCGCTCACACCTGCAGTCAGATGCTGCTGACCGACATGTGGATGGGGCGCCTGCGCATGCGCAAGAACTCAGGGCTGAAGGTAGTACGCGTCGGGTAGATGGTTGGGTAGAAGAGTCTGTGCATTTAAAAGCAATGTCCTTCTCTAGTGTAAAAGATTCATGGTTGTATCCCCTCAGACTGCCTGTAAAGTAACGAGATACCTATCAGTTACTCTGTAGGTGATACACCTGCATAAGAAGTAAAACCTACCTGTAGTCAGCATAGCACATAAAATATAAATATACCGTAACTTTCAAGTAATTTAAAAGCAGTATTTCCATGATGTAGCTTGTCTGTCAGAGTGCTGGCATGCATATTTTTCAGCTATAAGATGGATAATCTGTACGTAGCTTGGTCATGCTTCAGAGATTTTTTAAACTCTTGAATATCTCTTATGAGTTATAGGCTGCAGAAGATGTGTGCAAGTGGAAGTGGAGGAAGTCTATAATGAGGACATAATATACAATAATGTAGTTATGTCCTTGTTTCATCTCGTGCACGCTGTGTGCATGTTTATCCTCACTACATACAATTGGCCTGAACCATACGAGTGAAAAATTAACCTAATCCAGAAAGTTCTGTTCACGGGGAATTAAAAAGGTCAAATGAGGAACACCTGAAGGGGCTATGATGAGTCATTGTTCAGGATTTAGAGTGCATGCTGGACTGTGAGGAGTAGGCAGGTCACCACTGGCTGTAAAAAGCGTACGCTATCCACACCTGCCTCTCAGTTTAGCAAAGACTTACTATTACTTATCAGATGGACAAATCTGAACCTACACCTGGATTGGTTAATACCAGAAAATTATGTAATATCAAATGTTCGTGTTCTCAGTCACTTTGGTCTTCCAGGGTGACCAGCGACACTATTTCATAGCAGATTAACATCTTAAGGTGAGTTTATGTAGGTGAAATGATGTACTGTACTTAAAGATCAACCCAGTCAAGGTTGCTTGTGATGGTGGGAGGAATGGCCATCCAGAGAAAAGAGGTTTATTGGACAATAATAAGCTCGACACTGTCAGTGTGATCAGTGCCGGACTGCTGGCTGAACTTCTGCCACAACTTAATTAGTATAAGCCTTCAAAGCCATCTTTTTAGGTCAGAGGGGACGGGAGAACTGACCTTAATTTAGTCACAAAAAAAACCCCCTTGAAACAGAGTGCAATGTATTTTACATTGACGCTCGTGCGGTGAACACCCCTTTTAAGTCAAGGAAAAGCTTTTAGTTAAGACTGGTGGTTAAGATTAGAGCAATATTTGCTCATGTGGGTCTCCAAGACATCTGGTGGTAGAGTGATAGGCAGGGAGCTGCTCAGTTCAGAGGTTAGACTTATTTATGCTGAAGAGTTGCACTGGGATTTGCTGAGGCTGAGATCACACTCATTCATACACCGAGCGAGGGGAGTGATGGGTCCGGCTTTCTAGCATCTCAGAGCGAGAGGATACTGCAAGTGCTTTAAGTGTGATTTGGCCTTTGCAGGAGAGCGAGAGAGAGAGAGCGCAAAAGAGAGATAGAGAGAGCCCTACTAAGGCAAACTCACTGCAGCAGTAAGACAGAAAGAAGAAAAAGTGGAAAAAACAAACAAACCGAGATGCATCAAGGAGTTTGTGAAATACGGAGAGTATCATTGTTAAAAATGTTGTCATAATCATCCGTGTGCACAGCTTTTGAATGTATTTATATCACAACTGGAAACTGGAAAGATTTCAGTGGACTGTAAGCTGTACACTGCTTTCTTTTTCTTTTTTACTGTGAAGCACTTTGGTTTTAAACATGCTATAGAAACAGACTTTACTTACTTACCTTATACATCAGTAAGTAATGGTGCGGTTGCCTTAAACACCCTCATAAAATCGGGGATACTACCTGCTTTACTGTGATCCTTTTCATATTCTATATTTAATCCATGCTACTCATCTAACCATCTAACTTTACTGACAGCTATTTTGGTAAATTATTGAATCCGTTTTTAATCTTAGCCCTTAACATATTTATGACGAAACAAACAAAAAATAAAAATTCACTCTTAACAAAAAGATAACTCATTACCCTGATTTTCATCTTTTTCTCTTATTCTTTACTTCCCACTGTGATCACGTTTGACTTGCTCTTGCTTGCCTATTAGCTGCTGAAGTGTTTACAGCACAGCTGACATTTTTTTTAATAGCCGCTCGAGATGCGTGTGTCCCCGTCATCCATCTTGGCAGCACAGGATTCTTGCTGCATGTCCTTGTCTAATGCCTTTATAATTGACCTCCACCGTTAGACTAGCTGTTGTAAATACCACAGCTTTGTCATTCAGCTAAAAGCAGGTCAGGACAGGATTGGGAGGTGTTCGTGAGAGCAAATGCTTTATTATGTGAGGTTCACATGTGTAAAATAGAGCGATTTTGAAGGTTTTTTTGCTCCAGAGTCTTTGTGTCCTAATTTCCATGGCGCCTCTCATGAAATTAGTGCTATAGCATAACACTCTGTGATTTGTCACTTCCAGCTCTTCCTTCCACATCCACTTCCTGTCTCCCTCATTTGATCACACAGGTAATATTAGGGCTGCTGCTCCCACCATCGATCCTGAGTCTGGAATTCAAGAACAAGGACGAGATGTCCTACATGCCCCAGGATCAGGAGGCCTACCTGCAGGAAAAGGAGGAGGAGGAGCCTGAAAAACCAGTGAAGGAGAAGGAGGAGGAAGACATGGAGTTCACAGTAAGATCTTACTGTGAGACGCAGTACAACTCCGTGGTGAGAGAACCCACCTCAGCCCTGCATAGTCAGAATCGATACACATATTCAGACTATGCACACACAAACACACACGCTTTGTTCGATCTTAAAACTGCACCCAACCCTGACACTGTTTCCTTTTGTAAATATCTCTTGTGGGCAAGTTTTTAAACAATGTCGGTGCTGTCCACAATGAGATGACGCTACACACACTCAGACACGGATATATGCACACAGTTCTCCACGCACACATATTTGTTTCCCTATTCTGGCCAGCTGGACACTTCCTGCCAAATTGGCCTTTCTGTTTCTCATCGTCTCAGCAAAGACATGATTGTGGAGTTGTAGCGTCTCAGTCTGTCGCCGCTTGTGGGTTCCCTCGTGTATCTTTCTCTTTCCGTCTATCTTCTCCTCTGTTTCTCTCTCACCCACCCCCTTCCCTTCTCTCTCATTCTCAGCCCAGCTCTCTCTTTGCTTCTTTATTACTTTTGCTTTCTATCTTTTTTCCTGCAAATCTCTCCCTCCCTCTTTCCCCCTCGCTCTTTCTCTCCCTCTCTGGTTCTTTCTCTCTTTTTCCCTTTTTCTTCAAGCTCAGGTCTGATTGAGGTACAGTACTGTATGCTAGCCAATTGCTTCCCCTCACTCTCTACCATCAGTGATGGCTTGCTGCAGCATACCACTCAGCATGGCAGCTGCTGAGCACGGGAGGCCCAGGCTTTTGCATTATATAACCATGTCCGCCTGCTGCTGCAGAGCTTAAATCATGCAAAGTCTGAGCACCTTCTCCCAGCTCACAGCAGAAGAGTTGGTCCATCTGCATAGACACAAAAAGTACCGAAGAATTAGAACTCGCTCCATTTCAGTCCAGGTCAGTTCTAGCGATGATGCCAGGATCCAGCTTGTGTGTTCGAATGAAGACTGGAATTTGAAAATCAATTTCAATGCACAAACTGAATCCGTGGCTGTCGCGTGAAGCGGCTGAACTGAAGTTGAATGCCTTCCAGCACCACTGTGCATATTTTCCATCTTGCATTGAGCAAGCCAGCAAGCCAGTGCAAACATTCACGAAACGGGTCTTTTTTTTACACTTGCAGTCCTTGAGGCACTCTGGCGTTAAACAAAGATTCCCCGCTGCTAGAGAATGTACTTGTAAAGAGCCCCTTCCTGTTGCCCTGGCTTCTGACTGCACAAATGCAGCGTCACTTACTTATGAATCACACAAAGATTCATACATATATACACGGACTGCTACACCACAGAGGGAGATTGTATTTTCGTGATATGATGATCAGATGCTTGGCATAGAACACACTGTAATGGATGTAAAAGCCTGTCTGATAGCTAAAATGCATGTTTAGTGCAGTTAAGGCATGGTGTGATTTACACACTGGCGTCTGAATTTGTTCATCCTGAAGGCCCTGTCTGTGTGTGCCTTGGAGAAAACTTTAGCTCTATATGTTTCACATATTTGGGGCATAAAACAAAATAGAAATCCTCTAGTTCTTACTAAAAGTGCTCCTTTTCTTCTAATTTCATAGAGGTGGTTTTTATGACGAGTCTACCTATTCAACGCCCTGGGATGTACACCGACTCCTCATTGCATATTTGAACCATTTAGACCAGCTTTAAAACTTTAAACGTTGCCCAGGTCTGTTACGCTTGTTGACTTAGAATACAATTCCTCTCAGAGGTCTGGTGTTGCTTTGACATTAAGACCATGACCCATAAAAAAGTGGGCTCCGAACCCTCTCTCATGGATAAGGAAATGTGTCACAGATTGAAGTGAGATATCTATGTCTTATCTTTCCTTTTTTCTGTCTTCTTCCTGTCAGTACCTTGTCTCTTTTTTGCCTCCTAATTGTTGTCTGAGACACAATCCATGAGTGTCCATGTCTGCGTAATACTCTGTTACCAGCCTTCCAGCCTTCACCCAAACTCCACCTCAAACACACATTTCACATTTTGGAATGATTGCATTGCTTGTGCTTGCTTCTTTAATTATGATATTAAAACAGTGCTGTAGCCCATAATTTAACCCTCTCCCCCCTTCTCCCTTTTCTCTGTTATTCAACTCTTCCTCCTCCATCCCAAATACTCATCCTCCTATCCATCCTTCCTCTGCATCTCTACCGACTCCTCCTCCCTCACCTTTCCCATCCATCACATTTCCCTCTTCCCACACTCTCTATACTTTAAATCCTCACACCTCTCACTCCTTCCTCCCTCGCTCCATGTGGGGTTTGCATTCGCCCAGGCAATGCTGGGCAAAGTAACCACAGAGACATCCAGAAAGAAGGATGTTGAGGAGGTTCAGAACCGCCACCGCCTTATCCCCATGGGACGCAAGATATACGAGTTCTACAATGCACCAATTGTCAAGTTCTGGTTCCATACGGTCAGTGTCAGTTTCAGCAGCACCACCTACATGCTCTGCTTCCTGTTGCTACTGTCACTGCTTACTGTATTTCTGCAACAGCATCAAAAGCCTCTACTTTCACGCTCCCTCCATTGTCATTAACCTCCCGTTCCAACCTGACATTGCCTGGCTTGACGGTGTGGGAAAGTATAGTATGAAGTAGATCTGGAGGCTGATGGAAGCAGCATTGAGAGAAAAGTATAGGAGGATGAGGGTGGGTAAGGAATTGAATCACACAAGAAGGCTTTTTATTGACAGTGTGAATATTGACTAAAGTTTCTGGGCCATTGCCACTAGGTTAACTACTACAATATATAAATATTAAATTAAGCTTTGGATTTTTCAATTATCTGTTTTAATAGAGCAGCTTACATGTAGAATCTGTAACTGTTTATGTATAGCTTGTGTGGTACAGTATCTGCCTATGAGCGTGTGTGCTTTGTTTGATTCTGGCTCATTTATTATTTTTCCTTACCCTATCTTGGGTTGCCTGAATTTGCTTGCCCAGTGAAAACATCTCTTTAGCACCGGCAGGGATTTCGCTGTTTATTTATGCAGAGAAAATATTTTCACTGCTCTTTGTTTCATCCTGTTTTCCTCTCTCTGGCTATTCGCTCTCCTTCTCTTCTCCACCCCCCACCGTCTTACCCCACTTCTCCTTTCTGCCCTTCAGGTTAAAGAGAAATACTCTGTGGTGCCTTTCAACTATTGCAGATGTGTTCTCTGAGCCAAAATGGAGTTTTTAGTCTTGTTCCCAATTTAGATTTATACCTATGACCTGATGTGTGCTGTCCAGGTTTAATAATTAGCTATTGTGTGAAGCAAATGTGCATGTGTAGAATGAACACCGGTAGAATGCTTGTTTTGCAGATGGAAAAAATATGCGTATAAACCAGAAAGCCAACATGTTTTTTAAAAGATTCAGGAGACACATAATGGAGGTACCTTGACCCCAAATATCTTTTATCAAAGCCTGAAAACTGCATTTATGGGAGTTGCAATGAGGGTCAGGACTTCACTCAATATGTGTTTAATTTGGGCAAACCCCCTTTCACTGAATCTGTTTGCAGAGAGATAATTGATCTTCATTCGTGTAAAGTTTGCTAATGTGTCTGAAGCGCACAAACTCATAACCATGCTGATTTTTCTCTGCTGTTGCATCACTATGCAGATGGCATATGTGGGCTACCTGATGCTGTTCAACTACATTGTCCTGGTCAAGATGGACTTGTGGCCTTCTCCTCAAGAGTGGATTGTTATCGCTTACATCTTCACCAATGGCATAGAGAAGATGAGAGAGGTACAATAGACTATAAATGTAGACCTGTAGTGACCTCTCTAAGCAAGTCTTCCCTACCGGCCAGCCAACTGAAGACCCAAAGTGTCTCCGGCAGCTTATTTAGTGAGTTCAGTGGTGGAGGGCAAAGGCTAATCATGATGTCCATATCATCTAAGTCTCATAGCAAATAGGTAAAATGTACATATATCAGAGAAATAGATGTAAAAGAGTGTTTGGTAGTGGAGATGCAGGCAGGCCACAGAAATGGGAAAACCATGAAAGCAAAAGAGTAAAGTGAATAGAATATAAAGGTATGTGGCCATATTATGTTCATCCTCTGTGGCTTTGTTTTTACTGTAAGTATATGAAATGCATTCATCATTGTGTCAGCTCATTCTGAGCTGTTAGATTCTCCGATAGGTGAACTCATGCTGCCCTCTTATGGTGGTTGTGATAGAGTGCATTTTTCTGTTGTGCTATTTTTGTCACTTTTTAGAGTCACTGTTTATTTTACCCTTTAGCGTCTGTATTTAATTAATGCCATTTTCTGTCATCTCTGCATTACAGCATCCACATTTCTGTTCATTTTCCTCTGATTGCTGTTTAGATCCTGATGTCTGAGCCGGGAAAGTTGTTACAGAAGGTGAAGGTGTGGCTTCAGGAGTACTGGAACATCACAGACCTCATGGCCATCCTCATATTCTCTGTCGGCATGGTGCTGCGTCTCCAGGAGCCACCGCTCATGAGTTATGGACGGGTGATTTACTGTGTCAACATCATCTATTGGTACATCCGGCTGCTCGACATCTTCGGCGTCAACAAGTACCTGGGTCCCTATGTGATGATGATCGGCAAGATGGTGAGAAGAGGAAGGGGAAGTCAACTCTGTGTGTTTAGGCATCCCTATTATAATCTGCAGTATTTTTCATATTTTCCTTCCATTATCTGGCCTTCATGCCTATCTGTTTACCCTCTGACTTTGCCCAACATCATCTACAGTATACTGACTGTAACAGCTTACTGAGTTTGATGATTGCAAAGGTTTAATCTGTAAGCGGTAAACAAGCTTCTGTGCCTCTTAACTTTATTGTTTGATCGTAGAGAGTTCAAGATCAGAGCCGATACAGACATGGAGATAAAACAACGGGGGGAGGGGGATCAAAGAGCCAGTTCTGTATCTTTCTGATCCTCGACTGTCCTGGGCATGTCCCTGTTTACCGCTGGACGCAGACTCTTTGATATGAAAATCAGCAGTTAGTTAGAGTTACTTAAATTGACAGTGATTTACTCAAATAATTTGCATATGTGATGAGCAGGTTTGAAGTCAACGTTGTTCACAGGCATAAACAGGGTTTTTTTCTGGCTCTGAACAAGCTCAGGGGACTGACTACACATGCAAGCACTTCCTGTCCACATACAGTAAAAACAAATGAGTGTGTTTCACCTAATTTAATATAAATCTTTTTAGATTTATCTTATTATCTGAGTCATTGAGTCATTTTTTTTAATTACACCGCCATTGCTTTTACTTGGGCTCAGGTTTAACCATCTTTTGGTGCCAAGCACTTATCTATGCAGGCTAATAAAGCTAATAAAGAAATGTAAAAATTGCATTGTAGTTACAGCCAAAAGTATCAACTGTGTTCTTACTAGTTTTGATGCTTTATTCTGCTTATTAGTGTGCCTTGCACTTTTCTTTCTTTTTAGTAATAACAACTTTGGTGACAGCTGTAGCTCCAAGTTTGCTTTAACAGGGTATCTGAATGCAAGATGAGCGACAGTCTGAGTGCATCAAAAAAATGCACAAAAGTGTTCGAAGGATAAATAAGCCCAAAGGAAGAGTGTCCCCTTCAGCCCTGAAAGTGCTCAGAGATTGCTCTAAATTAAATGCATTTTAAATATTGACTTCAGGCTTCGTTCCAAAACAAGTTAAATTAAATTTCAGTTGACCAACTTACACTGGGAAGAATACTAATCAAAAAATGCAAATGCAGACCAACTGATTTTCCTGCAGTGACAGACACGCTCATTACCTATTTCCCCATCCAGTGTCATTATTTTCAAAATATCCTGTCCTCGTTTTCTCTTTCCTTTAACCACTCACCTCTTCCCTTCTCCTCTTCCTCTCTCCCTCTGTCAGATGATCGACATGATGTATTTTGTGATCATCATGTTGGTGGTGCTAATGAGTTTTGGGGTGGCACGTCAGGCCATTCTCAACCCTAACGAAGACCCATCCTGGATGCTAGCCAGGAACATCTTCTTCATGCCTTACTGGATGATCTACGGAGAGGTGTTTGCCGACCAGATTGACCGTAAGTTCAGGGGCGAGAGTGTAAGCTGTTAGACAAAATGCGTTTTTGTAAGGAGGAAGGAGGGAGGAATGACGGAAGCAGTATTACTGAAAACACCAGTCTCAGTATGAAATTAGATTTCATTTTCACTCATTTCTTCACAGCTTGAACTATTACTTGAAGATGTTTATGTGCGCGCGCATGTGTGTGAGTGTGTGTGTGTAACACATACATAATAAAACTGTTTTCCTCGGAGACTAATTGCATCTGCAGTCATGTAGAGAGAGTGACATTCTGACTCAATAAATTATAAATAGACTGTGAGAAGTGTGTATGTGGAAATGTCCAGAGAGTGAGAGTGCGTTTTGTGTGCTGCTCCGTTCTTATCTTTTTGTGTGGTAATATTTGGTGGTGTGTACAGAATGTGAGGAGTGGCCCAAAGAGAAGAGATCTGAAATAATGTTTTCATTCTTTGTTTCAGATATGCATAGTAGGAAGGTACAGCAAAGGCTGAATGAAAAACTCTGGCTGGTCGAAAATTACTTACGCACTCATGGAACCTGGCGTAATAATGGTCCATCCCACATTGCCCAATGCAGTCAAAATCCCAGTAAATCTATAGCTATAGAACTTAATTTAACCACATCTACCTCTCCCACCTCTCCTTCATCATCGTCACATTAATGCCATGTCATGCCCACTGCTACCACTAGAGGACCACTTGATACAAAAGTGTGCATGCAGCTCCATGCTCTAAGGCTGAAGTTGCCCTCATGTGTTGGCATCTTGGGTCAGCTACTGAATATCAGCAGTGTTTTCTACAAATAACAGAGCGGATTTTAAAAGAATCCAAAACTCCTGATTCCCTGACACTATCAGTCTTCTCCAGATCTTTTATTGAGACAACTAGTAGCTTGACCTAAGGCCATATCCTGCAAGCAACTTTAGACTCACAAATTTTTGCACTGGCTGGCAAATGGTAATGTTACATGGCAGCAGCACTATTCAAATGTGTCTGGTCTTTGTTTTTGGCAGGCTTTCACATCAGGAGGAAATATCAAAGTTTAAAATTTGATATTCCGTTGATGTTTCTTATCCTCTCGTTGTTATTCGATTTTTAATTCGTCCCATTTGAAGAAGTGACCCTGCCATGACAACTCCATCTGTCACATTAAACCATGTCACCCTCCCCTTACGCCGGCTCAGCTTCTCACCGAAGCAATTGCAACATTGGAGAAATATTTCAGCCAATAAATCCGACATTTAACGTGACTAAGCACTGAGACTCAAAAGCTAATACAACATCACGCAGGAATAAAAACAAAAGCATCCACACATCAGCACCACAACATATTTATTAACCACCTCTCATCATCTATAATCTGTTTTTTCAAGTGGTTCAGTTGTCAGAGTTTTTAAATCCAAATTTTTTGGAAGGTTAAAAAAAATTAAATGGAAAAATTACTTCAGTTCTCTGTCTTTGGGCTGCATTGCGTGAAACAATTGAGCACCAAGCAATGATGAGTATGAGTAGAATGAATCTCAAAAGCAAACAAACCAACAACAAATGCTGAATGTTCCCCAGATAAGCCACAGCAACTGAACCATCACAGATGGAAAAAACATTCTAAATACATCTCAAATGATTCAGAACAGTCAACCATTGCTGAATGAAGCTATGGCTCGCATATGTGACAATATATTTTAAACACGGACGACATGTTTAAATATATTGTAAACGCAAACTGTGGTGACACATGACAAATGTGTTTTTTTTCTGTGTATGTGTGTATTTTGTTATCAGATGCACATCTGTGTACATAAACCCCTACCATTATGATTTCCACTCTCTCCTACCGCCACTTTAAGAAAAGAAGCATAATGATGAATTATGCTTCTTGTTTGTTTGCAAAATAAGGAAAAGTGCATTTTTTTTAAAAAAAAAAAAATATATATATTTTGAGGTCTGCTTGTCTCTTTTAGTTGATCGAGTATACATTTGAATGTTTGATAGTTTCTTCAATTTTCTTAGTTTTGCTTTATTTTAATTCTGATTATATACAGCATCGTCTGTTTGTTATCTGTTATTATGTGTCTGCATGTATTTCATTTATTTTTTGTGCAAAACATTCTTCTGAAATATTATTAATGATGAATGGATGTCTTTATCTAAAGATATAGTTTGCCTTCTAGTAACTTGTTCGCTTGTTTGTATTTATTTTGTGGTGATGCGCAGCCCCCTGTGGGCAGAACATCACTACAGAGGACGGTGTGGTGGTGGCTCTGCCTCCGTGCAAGACGGGTGCCTGGATTGTTCCAGCGATCATGGCCTGCTATCTGCTGGTGGCCAACATACTCCTGGTTAACCTGCTCATTGCTGTGTTCAAGTATGTAAAACCCTCCAATAGTTTTAGCTTTTGCACTTTAAGTAGACACCGCAGTGTTTTAGAAATGCAGCGAAGCACAAAACTCAGTTATTTTTGGCTGCATGAAGGCAGAAATTATTTATTCTTGTCCTCTAGCTCTCATAAGAAAGGATGACAAAGATGAGGATTCACCTTAGCAATATTAAATTGTTTTTATTGATGTTTTTTTCCCTCATATTCAAAAAAATGGCATCACATGTAACTTTTATTTGGGCACTGAGGCTGGTAGCTAATTATAGTATCATAATGGGATGGTGGTTTTTCCACATGGACATTATCAGACTAATGGTCGGTTGCTGCTCTTTTATATAATCAATGAAGCAAATGCAGTCGTCCTCTTCTCTGCATTAGTGTTATTACAAAAAAAGCAGACAATATAAGACACAACAGTTAAACTGAAGGTTTAGTCAGATTTTCTCCTCAAAACTCTCTTGATTCGGTTTATTTTAGCTTACAGCAGATGTAATCTTTCTCAGCTTGTATGGCGTCTCTATCTGTGATTGTCTGTAGTAATACATTCTTCGAGGTCAAGTCCATCTCCAACCAGGTGTGGAAATTTCAGCGCTACCAGCTCATTATGACCTTCCATGAACGTCCGGTCCTTCCTCCACCTCTCATCATATTCAGCCACATAACTATGGTCCTCAAGCACCTGTGTTGTCGATGGCGCAAGCATGATGACGATGAAAGGGACTATGGACTGAGTGAGTTGCACACATACAATAACAAGCTTTTTGTAATAGAACTCGTTACATTTATTCCATTTTAGTGCAATAAAAGTGTCTGTTTACGAAAAAAGAAATCTCTTCAGTATTTCTGAATAGTTAGCGTTAACACACTCAATCCCTTTCATCCACAGAGCTTTTCATCACAGAAGACGAACTGAAGAAAGTCCATGATTTTGAGGAGCAGTGTATAGAGGAGTACTTCAGAGAGAAAGATGACAGATTCCACTCATCCAATGATGAGAGAATCAGAGTCACTTCTGAAAGGTCAGACATGGCTGCACTCAAAAGCAGTGTCCGTATTAAAACCATCAAACAATAGAAATATAGAACATATTTCAATACTTATTTCCATTTTTCTTTTTCTGTACAATGGCCAAGAGAGCCCAGCGCACTCTAGCAAAAGAAACTAAGGGCAAAGAGAGAAAAGAAGCTGATCAATCTGATAACACAAAAGTGAATTTAGAATTTCCTTTGGCGTACAGAAATGTGTAGCTAAGAACACACACTGTTTTCGCTTCTCTACTCTACCCCCTCCAGTGCTTTTATGATGTTTTTCTCTCATTTCTGTCTCCTCTGTCAGGGTGGAGAATATGGCGATGCGTTTAGAGGAAGTCAATGAGAGGGAACACTTCATGAAGGCATCACTACAGACTGTTGATATTCGTCTGGCCCAAATGGAAGAGCTAATTGGACGAATTACTGGAGCGCTGGAGCGCATGACTGGTGTCGAGCGCGGGGAGGTCCAAAAAGCACGTTCTCGGACTTCGTCTGACTGCACAGACTCTGCATACATACTCCGCCAGGCTGAGTGCCCTGAAGCCGCATACATTCTCCGTCAAAGCAGCTTTAACAGCACAGAGGGGAACTGCTACCGCCTCCAGGAGGCTCTAGAGGGAACAGCTGAGGGTTCCATGTCTCCTCCTTCGCCCACTGGCATAGCAACACGGACCAGAAGTCATTCATTTTATGTTGGAGCTGGTCGTGCTGCTGAACGGGGAAGTAGAGCTGAGCGAGCTGAAAGTTTCTTCAAAGACCGCTCCCTCAGTCTCCACAGAGCCAACAGCTCACAATCTGTGTCCTCAGCTGCCGGCCCCAAGGAGTCTAAGCCCCTCCCACTGGCGACGTTATCGGTCTCCCAGCAGCACCGTCCGTCATCCTGCATTGATATCTATGTCTCAACGTCTGAAGAGGTGGGGCCTGCGGAGGTCTTTCTAGATCCTCTCCGTATGGTCCCACCTCTCCAGAGAGACTCCTCGCTGCAGTCAGATATAATAGAGACGGTGCTGCCTGGAGGCCGGGAGTTCAGCAGTGCTGCCACCAGCGGTTTGGGCGACAGGCACTCGGAGGGCGGTGCAGGCAGCAGCGGAACTGCTGGAGCTATGTTTGATGATAGTGCTGCAGCTGATTTGTCATTATGCTCAGCACATCTCTTACCAGACAGCACATTACCTCCTTGGGATATGGAACCATCCCCACCTCCCTCAGCAGGGCTGCTCGAACGTTCTAAGAGCAGCCGCTACCTCTCTACCGCAGGCACAGGATTCCTGGATGAGCCTCCTCTGGTCAAGTCACACAGCCTCATGTTCACACCAAGAAGCTGTTATGGTGGGATTGGGGCCGGAGTCCAGGTAAAGGCCGCGGAGTACACCAGCATCACTGACTGCATCGATACACGCTGCGTCTCATCTCCATACACCCCCGCAGAACGCTCGCAGTCACCTGGAGGTTCCACTTCATTCCCCTTTGATAAGCCGTCGGACGTTGGTTCCTCTCATCCAGAGAGAGAGGCAGAGCTTAGTCACACAGAGTCTGATCCTGAGGACCCTGATGACCTGGTTCCACCCCCTGATACCCCTCGGCTAGGGGTCCTAGGTGGCCCCAGTGGGGCCCCTCTCTGCTCCCCCTTCTCCAAGCTGGAGCGAGCAAACAGCTGCTCGTCAGACGACTCCCATCCTTCGCTCACGCTGGCTCCTCCGCACCGGAAGAGCCTGTCGGTGAGTGAGAGGATGGAGAGAGGACCGGGTCTGGGGGCAGACAGGGGGCCTGGGCCTGGGGGGCGGGGTCTGGCAGGAACCAGAAACCCCTTCCTCAGGAGCAAGTCTGGAGCAAGACCTGACACAGCCAAAACTGACAGCCTCTCAATGAGGAAGCTGGCAGCTCCGTCGGCTTTCCGCAGCTTCGATAGACAAAACTACACGTGACAAGGATGTGTAAGTGCACTTGCACACTGTTAGGACCAGAGAGGAGTATTGTGAGGGCCGAGGGCTAAAGTGATAGCAGGGTGAAGTTGCCCTTAGATGCTAATCTGGACGAGATCTAAGGTTGTTTTTTTCCCCCGCATTATATCTCAGATTAGAAAAATGTATTCATAGTCAGTATTGAAGGGCAGCTTTACTCTGAATCATGAATCTGCAGAGAAGGATTGGAGATATAGGGGTCCTACTGTACACCAGTCAAAACAAAGAGCTATGAATCTAGACTAGTTTTTACCTCTTGTAGCTAAGTAACTCTCAGTTTGGTGTTATGGCAATGGAAGGTGTATTCGTACTGTATGTCTTCCACCCACCACCTTTACTTCAAGTAGACATCTTTCACTGTGTTACATCACATATCAGTCACACTAGTCACACACAAAGTATACTGTTACTCCTAGCAGCTTTATATGGTAGACACTGTCAAGTCTGAGAGGCCAAGGGAGAGGAGAAAGAAAGAAATGACACCCACCTCTTTTGCCAACATAGAGTCATTACTACTGCAAAACCTTACCTTCAAATACATTTTCCCTGCTTCATATAATCCTAACTCGCATAAACTCAACCCAGAAAGACACTAACATTTCTGGCCACTTTGTGAAGAGATCAGAAGTCTTTGGACTTCACTGCACTTCAAATTACCTCTAAGTACTCAATCTTTCACATAATAAATAAATATTTCATTTTTGAAGGATACAGTTCTTTCTCTTCTGTTTGTATATTGTAGCATCAGAGAGGAAACGGCTAAAGCACTCATCTTTGCCAGAAACAAAGCAGCATTTGAACACACTGCAGTCAAAAAGTCGGCATGCCACCATGTATCTCCTGCGGCCGTGCTTGAGGCACTGTCCTGAGGCATCATGTAAGGGCGTGAAAGAGAAAGGCGCTCCGCGTATGGTGACATCCTCATGTTTATCCGCGCACACACTTGGTCAGTGAAATCCTACATATCACTTGGAGAGATACCTTAGTTTATACCTGACTCCAGAGAGCTTTTACAAGTGCAATTGCAATAGATGGGGACAAGGGGGCGTTATGAGCCTGTGTGGGAAGCAACGCTTGCTGGGCAAACCTGATGTGAACCTTAGTTGCCCGCACCTGACACCAAAAATCTTTTCACTCCAAGAATCGTAGCTCTCTTGTAGCCCAGCCCTCTTCCTTCAGGTTTCGGCAGTGGCATTATTTTTGAAATGGTTTTTACATCCGCCTGCACCTAACAGATCCGTCCTTCATCTATCCAATAACTGTCATCCATTTGTTTTTCTCCTTTCATTCTTTTTTTTAATTGAATTCAAAGCAGGTCACTGCAAAAAGAGGCTTATTTTAAAAAACACACAAAAAAGCAGTTGCCTAATACTAAAACAAATGTTGAAATAAGCATACAGATCATATTGAAGGACCTTGAATTTATTTCTGATTGATTTATATTTGGAAAAGCTTTGGAATGAGTTGCCAAGTATACACATTCTAGCTGAGATTTATTAAGAAAGGCATGCATTTTAAAGCGGCATGAAGGAGGAAACATAGGGTCATTAATATTAAAAGATGAAAGCCAGATCAGTGTTTTTAAAAAAGTTCTCATTTTTTTTATTGTAAAGAAAGAAGTCTGAAAAAGAAGATGTCTTTTTCCGATAGCTTTGTAAAGACAAAATAGCTTCAATCAATAGAATTCTTACTGATTTTTAATGTTTGTTTTTATATTTTCTCACTCTTATGATTCAGTTTTAATCATGTTGCTCTTCTTTTGAGATTGATTCTATTTATTGACATTTTCTTGCTCCTTATTGATAATTGCAGTAAATGCCTGTTTGAATTACAAAAATCAATATTTATATCTTCTCAGTGATATTTTTGTCGAGTATTTTCTAATTAAGCTTTTCAATTTAATAAAAGATGACCATCTACATGCACTAAATGACGATGTATTATATTATTTATTAAATATATAGACTTGTCTGATATAATGTACATTTCGATCATATTTAAAGTATTTAAAGTAGTTTTTATTGTATGTTTTATCAACCAGCTTATGAGAATTTTCTAATGTTGACAAGGCAATACATAGTTGCCAGTATACCAAACTTAGGGTGCCTTTTGGGCATGGATGGAGTATGTGGGGACTGAAGTGATTCATAAATCTGTGAATTTCCTCTTTTCATCTTTGTCTTCTGTTGTGAAGAGGCCAAAAAATCAGTGGTTATGTTCTCACAGACATTTGTTGTTCTCTTTGGACACATCTGATGTACAGAGTGGGGGAATTGTTGTTATCTGTAAACTGTATCATTGCTTGTATGGGTATTTATTTGAATTTCTTCACCAGAACACATAAAAGATCTCACTGACAACAATAGCTTTGGAGGACAAAAAAACAAACAAACCTGCGCACGAAAACGAGGGTGAGGATGTGATATAAACAGTAGGTGTCATTGCAGTAACTGGTCTTTCTTGCTCGAATTGGATTAAATCATGTGGTACTACCCAAATCTAATGATCCAGGACTGTTAAAAGCCCCCAGGTGATGTCTCTTAATTTGCGAGCTACAAAAGACATTAAACAACTGTGGTCCTGGGCAAAGCGCCACACCACGTGACCAGTTACTTTTCTAGGTAGAATCTGGAGATTGTCCCTTTAACTTTGTAATCACAACAGAAGTTGCAGTTAACCCCAATTGTGTGCAGTGGCTGGATGGCAAACCTAAAAGATGAGAGTTTTAATTTCCTCAACACATATGTAAGTCATAGCATAGTTTAAAGATGAAGGTCAGTGCTCAGGGACAACATTACCCCAGTGATGCAAGATGGAAAGTTAATCGTTGAAAGAAAGAAAGAAAGAGTCCAGTATAATCACTGTGCTTAATGAGTCTAACCCAGAATCTTTTTGATCATAGAAAAACTATATATTTTTGTGTTTAGGTGTTCAGAAATGGCAATACAATGCATGAATGTCTTCATACCTGATCAACTTGTTCTACCACAAAAGTTGAAAACACCAACAGTACAAACAAAAGTGAGGAATGTCTTTGCAGTCATGCTTAGTTGACTCTTGCATTTTGAACCAAACCAAACTCTGTCTAACCAAATGGAAACACGCTGAGTCACAGCTGTTGCAGACGGGATTAACTAGGCAGAGGTCACCTCAGTCGTTGCAGGGCCAGTCAGAAAACAAAATGACCGCGTTGGAATGAAAGTTTATGCCCTGCTATTTAACCTTACATTCTCTTTTATTCTTTTCAAAGTTCCTTATCCTCATATACGAGAGAGCATACAAGTCCGAAGCATGTAGAAACTTGTTAAGGTTTGTACATGATTGTGTTTGCGATATGCTGACGAGACTGTTGTGGAAGGTACTGACAGGAGGCATGCGTGTGTGCGTATGTTTGTACGTGCGTTTAATTAAACTGCGTGTGAATCGGAAGTGTAGATGACACTAATAACTGGGAGGCATGCCAACACAACACAACCCAACAGAATCTTAATGTACAGTATTTTTTAAATATTTTACTACACTGTCTCTTAAAGTTTTGGGGAATCATGAGCATATGTGATAATAATAATCAACAGATTTGCTTCCCTCCTATGAAACCTGTGACTCGTAAGCTTTAGAGTATCACGCACATGTTTTTTCTGCAATAACTTCTGATGTTGTTCGACTAAAAGGGACTTATCCCTCTACTGGTCACACTTTATTTAATGTCCTTTAAATGCATGCAGTTCTTCCACTCAGAGTGTACAGAGATGATGTGTAATGATGACTGAGAGAAAGATAGAGAGAGATTATAATATGAAATTAAAGTAGTGAGTATTTGGATGCAAATACAAATCTGTATTCTTCAATGTGAATAGGATCATGTCTGGCATGCATTGTTAAATAAACAATTAAATAGATTTGTGTCTTGTCTGTTTTTAATTCATGTGGATACTCAAGCAATGAATGACAGCACACTGAGTGCCCTCACCACTACCAGCTGCTTTGGATGGTTTAACACAGGTATTTAAATGCATCCATCTGCACTGCTCCTTGCATCTTCACCATTAACACCCACCTTCCTCTTGCCTACCTGTGTCTTGCTTCTACTGACTTTCTCCCCTCTTCAGAAAAGAAGAATGAAAGTTCCTACACTCGCTACACATTATAACACCCCAATATCTGATTGGGACAATGATTTAAACTCTGAAGTTAAACGGCTACAGGTACATCAGCATCTTTGACTCCCTTATGATGTATCTCACCTCAATTTTATTTATATGGCACTAAATCACAACAGCGGTCACCTCAAGGAGCTTGCCCACTGCGCAAAGTGACATCGGCGTGACAAGTGATGGATCAATATAGACATGATCTGCACGTCTATCCGACATCCAGTGTTTGGTGGGCGATATTGTAAAGACTTACAGTAGTAGAGTGAGAAAAGCAGCTCAGGTTACCCTTAACCCTCTTAAGGGAACCCAGGCTTCAGGATCCAGCCCTAACTAAGCCTTGTCAAAAGGAAAGTTTTAAGTGTAACCTTAAAAACAGAGTGTCTGTCTCCTGAATCCAAACTGGGAGTTGGTCCCACAGAAGAATACCTTGAAAGCTTCTAGTTTTAAGCAGAAACTAATAAAAAAACAAAAACAAACAAAAAGTCTTTGTAGGATACATAAGGCAACAAAGGCTCATAAGGCACTGGAGCACATCAAGCTGTTCTGCAGATATGGCAACAAACCCCTGCATTGACTGTCCTTTGTAAAACTTCTTACACTGCCATAAAAACACAGCCTGGAACTGGTCCCAGAGTATAAATGGTTTTCACACGCTTTCTTCAGCTGTAATAGAAATTCTTCAGTAATCAGCTGAGTACTGAGTACTTGAATATATTTATGTCATATTGGCCAGGGCCTGCATGACACCTGTGGTTTATACAAACGTGGTTTTACATATTAACGTGAAGGTTTTACACTCCCTGCCGTGCCCGCGCTGTGCCTGTAGTCCGCCGGGCTGTGAGTGTTTGGAAACCGGGGAGGGGCGGGGTAGCCTATATTAGCACAAGGGAGAGGGCCAGCAGTGGTGCGTCAGCTCATACTCCGCACGTGGAAGAGAACATTTTGTACTGAGATTATGCGCGCGCCCTCCTCCTCCTCCACCACCACCTCTCGGTTACATGACACGCACGCGCTCACACGCTTTAAAAAAAACAACCTTTGCCGCAATCGCCGTACAAGACACCACAACAACATGACCCAGATGCACCGTGCACTATTGAACTCTTTGCACGTTAGTGCGAGGAGGAAGCGGGGAGCAGCAACTGCGGCAGCCGAGGAAGCGCCTCCTCTTCCCCAGAAATGTTTACAGCTCTGCTGCAGGAGGAGTGGGAGGGTGGCTGCAGAGACTACACTCATCTGGCCAAGACCCTAGTTTCAACCAGATTTTTGTTCCTGGAAATCTGGGGGTTCTGCTGGAGCAAAATGGGGCGGAGTTCCAGCATGGGGCGATCGTGGAAAAAGAGCAAGAAGTCCTTGTACAGTTTTATTCTGTGATGCAGAAAATAGAACTTATTGTTATGTTATTTCTGTGCAGTTGGCTTGAATCCTACTCCCTCATAATCCTTGTTTTTCATATTGATTCAACACAAGACATATGAATCTATATGAGCTATATCTATATATATATCCATGCAGCAGAGGGGCAGTAAACTTCGTCTGAATTATGCATTTGTGTTGTTTGTCACCAGGCAAAGTTTAAACCCATATTTTGAGAACACCGAGTCCTGTCCTATAAAAACGAAGGGCCATACCTCTCTGTGGGTAAACAGAAAAACAAAACCAAGGAAGAACATGTGTCCAACTATTGACTACAAAGTTCACGTCAGGGAGAACTGTCAAGAGCTCACATTGCTCAATCCCTGCAGCCCCTAAGCTGAGGATTTTCTAGGAACTCTGACCAGAAGTGAACCACCCCCTGCACTTTTTAACTAAAGGGGTCTTATTTCACTTAAGTGGGCTGGCAGTATTATACTCATTCCTTTTTTTCTTTTTTCTTTTTTTAAGCAAACTTTTAAGAGACAGTGGGAAACATGTAGTCTGAAAATGTTGAGGCGCAAGGGAAAGGTGCTGCCTCGTTTAGTTCACAGTGAATAGTAATTTGGCAGGATTAAGAAACACATAGTTCTAGGGTGAGCGTAAACTAAGGAAACTATCAGAATGTAAACATTAAAAATGTTTTTATAAAGTCACGGGAAAAAGTGTGACTGTAAGAAAAACAGTAGCTTTATCTTAGATGTCTTTATCTCACGAAACAAGCTTACGTGTCAATATTTCTGCCCTCTAAAGTGGAACTTGTAAATATTTAGCAGCTGTAAAAACACAGGGGCAAACTATAACCACAAGCCATTTTTTCCATACATAACAGATCATTCATAATTTTACATATATATACATATACAGTTTTTTTGTGTCATCTTTAAAAAAAAATCTGCTGGCTCGTGCTAAAGCATGCTGTATGTTACTGTGTAGGGTAGGAAATTACCAGAAAAGCTTTGACTGTAAGAGAATGACAGGGATGATACTTAAGTGTACACATTACACATTACACAGGTCAAATTAGGTGGGATCACCGAACGATGAAAGAGACAAGTGACTGAAGTCACTGAAGCAAATCATCCAGAAAAGAGGAAAGGACACCATTTATTGCTTACAAAACTTAAACTTCAGAGAAAGAAATTTGTAATTATTATTAAACTTGTTATTAAAAAGGCATGTAATTATAAATCTGACCAAATATAACCAATGTTCATTATTCATTTTCCATGTATTTATTATCCAAAATCACAAAGGGTTAGACTTTTGTTTTTAATGACGACACTTTTACGTATCTACATATAGATCTACATGGACTTATATTTTTCTTAATGATTCCTCAAATCCATTTTTACACTCTAACAACCATATTTACCATTTTCCTTAAGTCCCTGAAGGTAACATGAGTGTGGTCTTGCCCTTTTCACCAATCCCAGTCTTGTGATTAGTCGAGGGTCTTTTCACTCACTTTAGTCAATAGGCAGTCCCCCAAAAACCGAGTCACGTTTCTTCTCATCCAATCACAGTCCAGTTTAATTATGACGCAGTGGGATTCCGCGAAATTGTTTCTTGGAGTTGAACTAAAGTGCTGCTCTCTGTAAAATAGGACAAGTTGACCCGTGTGTGTCTGCGCACAGGGACGTGGACACAATAGCGCCGTGGGCAAACGCTGTGATTTTGATTCGTCCGTTAGAATTAAAAGGATCTGGAGGAAGAAAGAGAAAGGAGGTTAGAGAAAGGAGGAACCGGGGAACATTTTCAAAGCGCTATCTTTCCTGAGCGGGGCGTTTATTTATCCTCCGCGTAACCCCGACAAGAAAAGCGCAGTCTGCGCGGAGTGGTCACATTGAAGACGACACGTGTGGATGATTAACCGCATGTTTCCTGGGAGGACTGCGGACTGATTACTGTATCCGCGTTGTCGGATAGTTTTTCCTCGCCTCTCAAGATCTATTGTTTTGCTTCTGTCCTCCCGGCTCTGCTTCAGGGATCGTGATGTCGTCGGAAGTCGACGTCTCTGCAGACCGCGTCCCCAGCCGACCACCGCCGGGGCGGATGGAGGACGTACTGAAAGAGAGCCAGGAGAACAGGACTTTACTGATGGTGGCGAGGATTTTGCTGGACTTGAACAAATGCAGCCCCAACGCTGTCAGCGCCGGAGAAAACAGATGTCTCGGGGGCAGCGAGGCCGGCGCGCAAGAGAAAGCGGAGCGGGGGAGTCGCCTGAGCTGCGGGGACAGCCGCGGCTCTCCGGCCAGCCAAGCCAAACATCCCCGGAACACGAAGGCGGCGGCGGCGGGGAGACTGCCGTGCTCCGAGAAGAGACACTGCTGCCCTTTTGCTGGCTGCGGGAAGATGTACGGCAAGTCGTCCCACCTTAAAGCCCATCTTCGGGTCCATACCGGTAAGTAAAGTGAGAGGGGATGGGGTGCTTGCTGGGTGCTTAGGCGACACGATACCAACAGCTCTGCGTCACTTCGACCCTTTTTCGTATTTTTCTTATTTATGACGTAAGACTTTTAACCGAGAAAGTAAGATTAAAACGTGACGGACAAGAGTCCAGACCTGTGTCTCGTGTTGTGAGACTTTTAGGGGCGTGACCACGTGTTTCTGCAAAACCACATTATAGGAAAGGTGGTCTCATGATCGCCTACTTGTGGGAGGGGGTGTGACTCACCGGGACATATTGGACCAGAGGCTGGCAGAGAGGTGGAGAGGCAAGGGGGAGGAAATCTTTGTTTTAACGTCCTGTGGACACGCGGCCAGAGTGCGATCTTGGGTAAACACCACGTGCGGACGCCCATATTTGCGAAGCTTTATTGTTGAGATGTAATAAATGACGCCGGAGCATTGGGCATCATGAGACCCAATAACGCCTCTAATGATTTTAGCTTTGTGTTCCTGCCACCACTCTTCATCATACAGCACTGGCAGTCGGAGTAACAGTGGAAGAACATCTGCCGACACATTAAATAGGTCGTGATTCACACGCGGGTCACTGCGACACTGTTGTCCCCACGTGTTCCTGTCCGGAGGTAACGCACACTGCGCCACCATTTCCTCATACGTCATCCACCTCCACTCCCCTCGCGTGGGCTTGTAAACAAGAGCTGACATGTGGTTCTGCTCAGCACGTGGAAGCGCTGTTGAGGGAGTAATGTGCCCTGTTTCACCTCAGGGCTATCTTGACTGACGGCTCCGATGTCAACATGTTATTGTTCTTAGCAGCAGTCTTTCAGCAGATCTTAGTTTCGCTCCAGACCGCAGCCTGTGTCTTATTTTCACCCCCCCCCCCCCCCTTCTCCTTGTCACACTTGATTAATCTCGCAAAT